GGAACCGTGGGCTGGTCCAAGATGGAAATAGCAATAACGAAAAGGGCTTGATTAGGTGGGCAAGCGCTTGAGAGCCTTCTCTGCTCGAAGCATCCGCCTGAAGTACCAGTGTCTGAGGTAAGAAGGTGAATGGAAGCCAAATGTTTGGATGGTGGAAGAGCGAGAACATCAGCCGATGGAGCCGGGAGCTCGTTATCAGGGCTGAATGGATGTGATCACCCATATGTTCAAAGGAAACACAGTTGTAGAACAAACAACGCAGTCGCCAGAACTTGCTGGGTCCCGCGACGTAGAGGAAGGTACCAAGCATCGCAAACAAACGAACAAACCGGTGCTGAATCGTAAATATCCCCCACTCTCTGCTCGTCCCACTGCTTCCTTTTTTTTTGTTCACAAACTCAACAATCCTTCCGTCCTGCCTCGTTTTTAGAGGTACGTTGACTCCAGTCCGTTCAACTCAGCAAACTCTCCCTTCTCCAATTTCTATTGACATCGGAAAGTCCAAACCTCCCTGGTATCAAGGTCAGTGGCGTATCGACAGAGCTGGCAAGAACACATTAGTGACAGAGGATCTTCTTTCCTTGTCTACGCAAACCCTGCTGGATCAAGTCAAACACTCAGCTACCCCGCACCAGAGTATCACCGAGTCTGCGAGAGGCCTACTGCGACCCTCACCAATGGGACAAATTAGAACGCCTCAACATTGACCAATCAATACAGAACAGCCCAGAGCACAGTCTTTCACGGAGCCAAACATAAGAGCCGCCGCTCAAACGGACTCGAAAGAATACCTCTAGGAAGTCAAGCACGACCCAACCGACCAGCTCCTGCTTGAAGACATTGAATCGATAAATGAGACCACAGAGCCTCCCATTAGACACCTCTACCACCCAAACTTCTCCAATGATTCCTCAACCGTCCGGACCCCGAGAATCACAACCTTTTGACCGCGTCCTTCCGCGGCCTCCAACTCCATGTCCACCACCTGACAATGACGATCCTTCACCTCAAGCGTCCGCAGACCGGCACCTCCAGCTGCTCAAAGAAGAGCTACGCAAGAGCGTCATGCTCAGGCTCAAAAAGATAAATGGCCGCGTCGATGATCCATTTTCTCAACACGTCGTCAATAGTGACCGCAACCGCACTGCCACAGACCCTGATGGCACAAGTGAAAATGCCTCTACAGGTGGCAGCAATCATACCTCTACCTCTACTCAAAACCAGCCCCAAGATCAACGGCATATAACCCAGGTCTCAGACAAAGACAGAGAGCCTCGGTACCGGGTGCACGTGGTGACATTACCGAAGCTCACTGTTGTAGGACTGGGGTTGGTCTCGTGGGTTATGTCTGCAATCATTGGCGGTGTTGGGGCTCTTGGCTGGACGTTTTGGCACAGCCAGGTTCGCGGGGAGATGTTCGCGGAGGTAGCAGCGGGTAGAGGTAGCGAAGCTTTAAAGATAATGGGTAGAGGGCTGATGGGAGTAGGCGCGGCTGTAGGGAAGGCGGTATTGGAGCATTTCAAGCGGAATCTTTGGCCGTATGCGTTGTTTGTGTTGTTTTTTGGTAAGACTCTTGAGGCGGTTGGTTTGGCGATTGCTGAGACCCATTGGTATCAAGCTCAAGTTAGGCCAACTTGCTACTGCTATGCTTGTCGCGTCGAGATGGCTCGGGCTATAAAGAGGGAGACCGGAGTGTCTCCGGCGGAGCTAAATGCGCGTGTTGTAGGTACCTCTGATCCCGGGGACGATTGGGAGTAGGACCCAACGGATGGGGTGCTCGATGTATCGGTACTTGGATCTGTCTTGGTCAATGTTCATGAGTCTGTGAATGGGGCCTTGACGTGAACGATGAATACCAGGTACCTTTACAAATCAAAGACCATCGGATCGGTGTTTGCACAACAAGGCAGCCCGACATTGTGACACACGACAACGGGCTAGAGCAAACAACACAGATTCCAACAATGCAAACGGCGCCTCAGCATGTTCACACCAGGCTCCCGCGCCATTGAACTACAATGACTGACTTCCTCGCCGACAACACGGGGTGCGAGCAATATAAGAACTATCCTACCGGCCCTTGTTCTTTCCCAGTGTTCTTCATGTTTCGCTAAGCTTTCTAGACCTCAGCCCAACAACAACAACATCATCAGACGGGATCCCTTCAACCAGTAAAAGCAAGCACCTGAAAGATCACAAATCAAGTAAGAGGAAGAATAGAAAACAATGGAAATCAACAACCATCCATCCTCGAGCGAGAAGGAGGCCCGTCTTCTTCCCAATGCTCCTGGCGGAACGGAGAATGTCCATCAACAAGCGATACACACAGAGTCTACCACAGGGAGTTATGATCTAGGTCCCTCGCACAATAACCAGCCAGCTAGCGACGATAAACCAGATGGGCAAGGAGAGATTGCAGGTGATCACTTGATCCAAGAAGATACTTCCATCGGCAAAAACACTGTGATCTGCGAGGGCACGGCTTCAGTTGCTCAAACTGAGCAGACGCAGGTGCAATTTCTCCGTCTCTTGTAAGGGACTAGAGGTACCTTTTAAGGCATGCTTTGGGAGACTGTAGCGGCTGGTGATGCTGATGGGTTGGCGATTTGTTTGGAGTTGACCTGAGATTGAGTATCAGCATGAACATAGATGACACAGGAAATACGAATGCAGGGCGTGGGTCAAGATCGCGCTGCGAAAAGCATCAGCTACAGAAATACAGTCCAGTGATTTGTAAGAGGTACCTCGACTGAGGTAAGTATCGTGATGTACTACTGCTTTCCTCTGGTTGTGTCGTGAATGGAGGGCGCGAATGCCTTTTCTTATTACTGTGGATATTAGCACATGATACCTTACGTACCAGGTATCAGATCGTAAGAAGCTTAAAAAGGAACGACAAGGAACAAAGGGACGAGGGGAGGAAAGACGAGAAAATTAGCTGGTGCAAGGGGTGCACGCGGAGTAAATGCCGAGAAAACATGAAGGGGGGAAAGACACGAGAAGACAATAATTTCAACGAATACTAGTAGTGCTAATAAGTATCAGGTCATAAGCTAACGAATTTCAAGCCAGCGGTCTTCCCAATCATAAAAGCCCAAGTCGCAGGCGCAATGATCGTCACATTCATGTTCCAGGCAATAACCCGAATCAGGGCGCCTTCCTCCCGTCAGCTTGAGCCACCGTTGCTTTCGAGCCAACTCAAGCAGTCGGTTGTGCCTACTACAATCATGAACCAAAACAACCAGCTAAACAAATAAGAACGAAAAGCAAACACAATAGACCAATAACGAATTTCACCAAGACATCAACAATTACCCAAAACCAATAAACAAGGAACTCCCACGCATCCACCACCTTACCAGCTGCCCTCGCAACCCACTCAACTACCGCTGTATCGGCCTTGAAATTCACCACGCTCCACACGACCGCCGCCAGCAAGATCGCCTGAACCAGCAGGATCACAACAACAAGCGTACCCTTAGCAAGCATCGACAGCCTCCCCTTACATCCCCTCTCCCTGTCTATACCGGAGGGAGCAATACGCGCATACTCATACGCCGGTCCAGCATTTACCTCCCGCTCTATAGCTCGTACTTCAGCCTCGGTAATCATGCTTTCATATCCGCCTTGTCTCATCTGAGCACGAGCAGTCGCAACAGCGCGATCATAAGCGCGAGCGCGATTCCGCACATCCGTGGAAGCAACACCGAAGAAGATAAAGTCAACTCGAAAGGGGAAGCCCAACTGAGAAAACCAAGTACGTCTGGGTTTCTTTCGTTTGAGGATGGCGAGTTTGAGTTTGGCAGCGGCTCGAGCCCGGGCCCAGGCTCGAGCCCGGGCTCTTACAGCGGCTATGAGTAAGTCCTGGTCTCTTTCTAGAGCCTCAAAGAACTGGGAGCGAACCTGCCCATGTGATCTTGGGGTGCGAGTTGATGAGGCGGAACGGGATGATGATGATACGGTTCCGTATCCTGTTCTGGTTGCTGGAATCGGTACTTGCGATTTTGATGGCGGATTGGGTGCTGTCGCTTGGGTCTGTGAATGGAGGAGGGATGATCGCTCGTTGTTGACTTGTCGAAGGGCCTGAACAGTGCTTGACCTGCTCGGGGCTACAGGCACATTCGGTGGAGGTACAGGACGGTAGGTCTGCATGGCAGACTGCTGGTTGAGGAGTTGCTCCCGGCGGCGTCTTCTATCGGCATCCCAATAATCCTCTGCGACAATGGTGGTGTCCGAGTCCGAGTCGTGTGTCATTGCCGGCTCGACAACTTCCGGTAGCTGGGTCGCCGGCTCCGGTACTGGTTCTGGAACGACTACCGGTCTGAGTTCGGGAGTCAATGGGGGCGTGGCTGTCTGTGTTACTGCCGGTGTGGCTCCCGGTTCCGATGTCCCAGACGGCCCAGCGATGATCTCATTATCCCTAAACCCAACAAAATCCTTTAACTTCCCATAAGACTCCGGCATAAGCACGAAGAGCTTCCCCGACCTGCTGTCATAGTTTCTCAATAGGGAGAAGACCACCCGATACTGCGTCTCCGTGTTTACCCACGAGTTCTTTCTCAGAACCGCACCACCGCCAAGTTTCAGCACCACGTTCTTGTCTGGTTCGTCGGGATGAGCGGGCGATGGGTCGATGGGGAGGTAGTGTGCCCGCATCCATCTTTCGTAGTTATGCCGGTGCCGGGTTTGTAGGTCCCTGCCGCCAAAGGAGGTCACCTATGATGCATCTGTTAGTTTGGGGAAAGAATGAGTGGAGTTATGAGTCTTGGGACAATGGCGAATGGAACTTACCATCAAGACAACGACCTCATTGTTAGGCAGCAGTTTTGGGGATAGTAGGATGACTGGGTGATCATGGCAGGCGTCTGGAAGTCCGCTCGGTGTCTTCAACTCGTTAAGTTTGGGCAGCCACATTATACGGCCACCCAGATTGGGCGGTTTTGGCACGGCATTTTGAGTGGTCTGAGATTGTCGTTTTTTCTTGACAGCACGGCGGGCGGACGGCATTTTGGGCAAGTATCGCAATGTTCAAGCGACGCTGTCGACATAGATGAAAGATCGGAATCCACCCCTTCGAGTCTTCATGGAAACGAAGGAGCTCGGGCACAGCTGAACAACCATCACAGAACGACAGATCGATTGTTGTTATGTTTTCATCTGTTTGTACCCTTCTTCACACCCGTTGGCTGACTGGTTGATAACCGTGTGGGGGAACGTGGCTTGGTGATGGTGTGTGTCGCCGTGGTGGCCCGTCGCACCGGCCCGCCCAGTCGCATGCATGCATATGAGCTTGCGCAGATCCAATGAGGAGGGTGGTCGCACAAGTGCTTGGGACGATAGACCAGCATCTAGGTAGCATCGAGGTAGCCGATCAGGCTACGAGGCAGACCGGCCGCAAATTCGGGCCAACAAAAGAAGTGAAACAGTTGAACCAGGAGAAAAGTGAAGTGAAAGGCGCTGGAGTGCGTGATGAACTTGATGAAACCAAATTGCCCACGAGCGGTGGGCTACCTCCTATCATGTGCCGCCAAGGACTGGAGGAAACCAGCAACTCATTCAAGGAGGTTTTGCGCATTGCCGGGTATGGGCATAGCGCCTTGGGAATTCCAAAACGAGGCATTGGAAGTCGGTAAGAGCACGAGTCCGTTGTGTTGCGATGAACTCCTAGAAAGCTGTGAGAATAAAATGCCAAACATGCGCTATCGCAGTTGGTACCACTGTGTCCAAGTCATTTTTGTTTCAGTACTGCGGATGACCTGGCGTGTCGTTTATATCGTATGAATTTTTAATAGTCGTCCCGGGAAGGGCCGTAAGGAGGTGCGTACATCGAGGGCGCAGGAACCATTGCCGAACGTGTACCGACTGACGCTCCTGGATCCCTAGCTGTAATGAAGTTAGACAATGTCCGCTACGAAGTTTGAATTATGCTGAAGAGCACTTACACGCAAGGGCATCACATACCCCAGTGTCCTGGGACAAAACGTCGAAACTGGCCATGCCCAGCACCTCGGTAGGTGCCGAAACCAGTGGCTTCTGGCAAAGGCTCGTGGAGAAATCCATAGCCCGTCTCCTCTCAGATGCATGGGCTAGAATCATGGATGTCAGCAAAATAGGTAACAGGAACCCAGGAGTGTGGTAAGAGGTAGAGGTGGTGGCGGCGCTGAACTCACCTCGGGAACCTCTATTCTTATTATAATAGATCCTTTTGATCGGTCTCTCCTCCACCACTCTGTAAATGTGCGATCCGGGAGTAGGAATCAAGGCCGAAATTGATTTTGACCTTGGAGGATCGCTGGACGCGCTCCTTCCTTTTCTCCAATTATCGCAACACACATAGCAGAGACACCCCAGAGGGCACCCGCCTTTCCCCTCCCTCCGGACTTGCCCCATCCATCGCGCACCTCCATCACATCGATCATTTTTCGCCAACATTACCGCACTCTGAGATATTGACATCTCAGGAGGGTATGTTGTTGTGCTGACAACCCCGCGAGTCTCGCTCACGGGGTGTTGCAAATGTGGCCACCATGATGATCGCGACATTATCTCATCTATCTTCTTCTCCTTTTCCTTCTCCTCCTTCTCCTCCTCCTCCTTTTGGCGTCTAGCTGCCTCATCCCACCTCTTAATTTCAGGTACCCTCTCCGTGTGATAGTTAATCACGTCCCTAAGAGACTCCTCGGTAAGTGTCGGGGTCCTCTGCATATTTTTCCAGTTGATGAGGCACTGGTACGACACCGAATAGGACGCTTTGGCATTTATCCAAGAATCACGGAGAGCCTTTTCATTCCCGTTCTCCTCGGCGAACGTCAAATTGGAGGGTACGTCTTCGCTCCATTTCGAACAGGGATGGGCAGGCGCGCCAGGGAGCGGCAGGTAATATCGGCATGGGAGGGACTGGCCAAATCTAGTCCCCAGACCCTCTTTTGCGAAAGTGGTTATCTGGATAACAGAATTTCAATTAGCAATGTGATCGGCAGTGAAATGGTTGGGCGGTTACCTGATGAAAAGGTATACGCGTGAATTTATGGGGGTCTACACCAGGAAGCACATACAATCAAGACGCGAACAATATCTGTTTGCTCCTCGCGATGCTCGGATATGATCAAAACCGGATGATCGAATAACTTATCATCCAGGGCTGGTAGATTACCAGGTTCTATCATCACCTTCTTGGGCAACCACATGATTCTGCCACCAACAAATTCGTGGTTGACCACGGGCAAGGCAGCGTCTTTCTCCATTGCTTCGACGGACACACTGTCGTCCGTATTTATATTCCAAGTACCGGTTAAGGGGAGGAATCATGAAACCACTGGAAGCTGAATCGCTTGCAAGTGGAATGTATCGCGAAGTGGAAGGCTCCTCCTAAGTGAAGAGCCGAATTTGGTTCAAGAAGACTGAAGGACGCCGCCGGTAGTTAGCATCAACTCCCGTCAACACAGCTTCGAACATGATGGCCAACATTACCGGTACAAGGTATGGCAAGTATGGGCAGCGCAGATCGACATTGATGGTCTCCCGGATCGGTTGACTGTCTTGCGCAATGATACTGGGAATCGGACGCCGGGGTGGTTCCTAGAGCCGCTGAAAACCAGACCGTCACCAGCAATAGAGGAATACCTCTAAGCAAGACAAGTGAACGTCAGGGGTGAAGGGGCGTTGCGAGCATGAACAATGTGTCAAGGATCTTAGCTTGTCGACTGAGAAAGACCGAAAGATCACAGAGATACTCGGCCAACAGGAGAAGACAACTGGGTTATAGAACCGAAGCTCTCTGGTGGTTGCTCCGATAATTCGTGCGACAAGCTGGCGGGGAAGCATTATATGTAGGCACCCCATAATTTAAGGTAGGTAGGCCATGTTCTTGAAGATCAAGCGTAAGGCACCTCTTGCATGGAGAATACGGCACATGGTGACTGGAGTTCCATGCTGCATGTTATGGAAAGCATCGATGCATGGTATTAGATAGATACATGGGCTCTGAGCTGCTCAGCAACGTGTCAGCTATTTATCTGGACGAGCTAGTTAGAGGTAATTAGAAATCCGATAGTAACAAAGGTACCTAGGTAAGTTACCTATGTTGTAGTCATATCTCACGAAGGATAGGATATTGTATCAGAGTCTCTTTGATCGTAACTGCAAGATGATGCATGTGATCCTCGGCATCATGTCGTCTCTCAGTATCATGAGACGTCTCGCCCTGAAATGCACATTAGTCCCATTCACAACTGAATGCCCCTCCCGATGTAATGGTTAATAACCTACCTGTACCTCTGTTAGTGGTAGGTATATGCTCGGTTTCGCTAAATGTGTCGCAAGGTGCTGTTATGGCTTCATATGCTTTGCTACGCAGAACGCTGCGCTCCCCTCACCAGCATATGCGGGCAATCGCGAGTGTTTGTCCAATACATGTGATTAGTGAGCATGCGAGGACATTACCCACTACTCCAGGTAACTTGCGTATTCTAACGTGGGTACAGTTCAATATACACCTGTTTGGGCTACCCCCTATCCGGCGCCTAAAGAGGAGATTGACGGTGGTGAGCTTTACGAGTCTAGAGGTACAGTAGAGGTCGGGTAATCTCATGGAATGGTAGAAGTGCTCACCTGTAGGTAGATACCTCAAGAGAGAGGCCTATGTGCTCAGGTCTTTGTGCTTGCCCCGGCAGTGGATGAGTGCGCCCATCTGAGACATCGTGATCGTGTAAGCGCTGCCTGTTGTCACCACGATGGCCTCTGCAACGCGCTCAACACCGCACATGATACCGACAGTAAGGTCTCACACTGCAGATATCTTGAAATCCAGCCATGCCAACAATTTCATCAGAAAAACCAGCCGTCGGAGGTAGGACATTCGGAAGACGAACCGTCGGGAGGTGGAGCATCAAAAGAATGACTGTCACAAGATATGCCCAGATGTGCTCTCGAAGATGAACCGTGAAGAGATACCCTGCGAAGACGAACTCTGTGGAAACGAACTTTGTGGAAACGAGGACTCCGAAAGCAAACCCGCCAAAGTCAAATCGCCGGGGGGAACAATAACAGATGAGATACTCGCAAATGAGGTCTCTGACCCAACAGGTGTTGAACTTCAGTTGCTTCAGTTGCTCCATCTCTGCTCCATCAATCATTGCTCCTACCATCTCTGCTTTGTCCACTCCTTCATTCTCCATCTCTACCTTCCCCATCTCTGCCTTCCATACTTCTGCCTTTTTCCATCTGTTCCTTCCCCATCTTTTGCCTTTTCCATTTCTGCCTCCTCCCTCAACAATCCCAGCACTACACCCTCCAAGTAATGAAAAGTAAAAAACCAGCGCACCATCTGCTACCAAGCAGTTCTTGTCAAGGTCGCAATAGTAGAGGTAGTAATATCACACTACAAAACATCAAGAAATGGTAGGGAACGCTCTAGATTCTTATAGGGTTAGCCCATCACCTTTTGAGAGTTCTGTATCTGGGATTTGTGCGATGAAGCACAGGTAGAGGAGATCATGATGGTTTTCTGGTTTATTCAAGTGTTCTGGTTTTTGATCGGGATGGATCTTGAGCCAATACGGCGTGTGGGTACCTATGACCTTGCCGCTACAGTCGTTGAGACCAAGACGTTCGGGGTCTTTGGTCAAAATTTTGGCGTATGATGGAAGATGATCAATGGTGTCAGCTTTTTTTCCCCAAGACTTCTTGGGCTGCAAATAAACAGCCGATGAACTAATTGTCGGGTGTTATAAATAGTTTGGATCCATTCCTAGACTTCGGGCCGGTAAGGCAAGTCATGGTCCGTCTTGAAGGAACATGTCCAAACTTCCAGAATCTGTCAGCAACAGAGTATGGCATCAGACTGGTAACTTTCACATTCACAAGTAGTGATTCCTTGGCGCTGGATGCACGATGCGTTAGTGACGAGATTCACATATCTGCTGACCACAGGAACGGGGAGCATCAGTCTGGGTGTGAATGTTTCGGGGGGGTCTGAACACCAGTCAGCAATTAGAAACTCTAAAGGCAAAGAGAATACATTGACTTACCCAAGGTATGAAGGTGGATCTTCACGATGCTCCCGTATTGTCTCGGCAACCATGAGGAACCCGTGACCGTGTGCTGACATCCCACCTTTCCACTTGGCGTTGTTCCATCTCTGGAAATGAACAAGTTCAAGCCGAGCGTTGCTTCTACAGCCCACATCGAACTAGTTCTGCTCCATGGCAGTGGTTCTTGCGTGAGATCGTGAACCAAACTACACGCAAAGTTGGGAGAAGCGACCTGGCGACGGGAAGTTGCGAAGCTCAAATTTCAGGACCTGAGGGCACCGATCCAATACTCTTCCTCCAATCCCTCACCCACGTGTCACTACCTAGGTAGGTACGGTACCTGGTAAATGGCGCGAGATGACATGCAGTAACATCTTGAATCCTCCACGGATTTCTAACACATCGAACCTGGTCACTCCTTCCAGGAAAACCTGGTTCGGGAAAGTAGGGAGGTACATGTACTGTAACTGCAGAAGCGTGCCTCTTGGATGGCAGAAGCTGTGCTCTGTATGTACAGCAAGATGAGAGGTATCGTGCATGGAACCGCAGCGGTCGATGTAATGCGAACCGATTCAACGTTGGCAGTCGAATGCATCTAGATTCCGCTTGCGTATGTCCAACGTAAATCAACTTGTAACAACCGGAATTGACCTGCATTACTTACCTAATCGAGCTCAGGTATATCGCCATGCATTGTTCGACTGTAAATGACATTTGGAAATTCCAGCATTCAATCGGTCGCCGAAGTGCAACATGCTCAGACAGAGGTCTGTACGTTAGGTATGCCAACCGCTGTTCATCGAGGTGCTCAAGTTCGGTCCAGGGGCAGATCGACTTTGAGGTCTCGTCGCTGCCGCCCGTTCGTGAGTAAAGAGTCCTGGGACTATATGCTTGAGATCGTATCGATCCAAAAGTGCGAGATGTGAAATACGTAAACAATTTCATACTGTTCGATCGTCTCGATGTCGAGTTGTCATGGGAAGAGGTTGTCATCGAATTGAGCCGTTGAAGTCACGGCATACTAGGGTTAGGGGTACTTCTAATGACGGCAGAGCGGGTCCACCGTCCATCCCCGCTGGGCTGCCTTTGGATCCACCATATGTGGGGTTAACACAAGACAGGGACAGGGACGCAGGGCATATTGCCGGCCGCGACCGCCAAAAATTTCTGAGTGGAGAGCACCTCAGCAATTGGGAAGTTTCGAATGGAGGGACCTGCACTCCGAACCTCGACCATCTCGGCAGCATCTCCAATCCGCCATAAACAATTCTGCCTGTATCGTCCCTCTGCTTGATCGGCTGGCAAATCGATCACAACCACAACCACAATTCCATCTGCTTAATTCACATACAACCTACATCCAATCAAACCAGACACACACACAATCACAACCATGGGCATCACCAAGCGCAAAGAAGGCCCCAGCAGCAAGGGCAAGCCCGTCCGACCGTCCAAGAAGCAGAAGGCGCAAGCATTGGCCGCCTACCACAGCAGTTCAGAGGAGGAATCCGACAACGAGCAGCAAGATGTTGAAGACCAAAGTGACGAGGAGGCCGGCACCTCCGCCGTTCCCGCCCACCTCCTCGACTCGGACGACGAAGACCTAGACAACCTCGTTGCCGACGATGGCGCATCCACAGACGAAGAGCAAGCATCCGACTCTGATGATTCCGAAGCTGAACAACCATCAAACAAGTCCTCCAAGAAGTCGCAAACAAAACCCAAATTCGTCGCCAAAGACGCCCCAGATTCCGAAGACGACGATGACGACTCCCTAGACGGCGGTTCCGACCTGGGCTCCGACCTCGACGATGAATTCGACCTTGACGGCTCGGGTGATGAGAACGGCAACAGGAAACAAACCAAATCCAAGCGCAACGACCCCGATGCCTTCGCTACCTCCATCACCAAAATGCTTTCCTCCAAGCTGCCTGCCTCGCGACGCGCCGACCCCATTGTCGCGCGCTCCGCCGAGTCCGCAGCCGCCGCCAAGTCCCTGGTTGATGCGGCGCTCGAAGCCAAGGCGCGCAAGCGTTTGCGCGAGCAGAAGCGTCTGGCTTTTGAGAAGGGTCGGGTGCGTGATGTGTTGGTCCCTAGCAAGACTAGGACGTTGAACATCCAGACGGGCGAGATTGAGGAGATTCCGGATGGTAAAGAGGGCGAGCAGACGACGGGCCAGATTCTGGAGACGGAGAGGAGGTTGAAGAAGACGGCGCAGAGGGGTGTGGTGAAGCTGTTCAATGCGGTTAGGGCGGCGCAGGTCAAGGCGCAGGAGGCGGAACGGGCGGCGAGGCAGGAGGGAATCGTGGGCGTGAAGAGGAGGGAGGAGAAGGTTACGGAGATGTCGAGGAAGGGGTTCTTGGACTTGATTGCGAGCGGTGGTGGGGGGTTGAAGAAGGGTGGCTTGGAGGAGGCTTAAGGGAATTATTATGGTGTAGAGGGGTGATATTGTTTGTTTGCATATTGTCAAGGTCTAGGCTATTTTCTTATATACAATCCATGCCCTTGATTTGGGCAAATAGTTGAACAACGTACAAGGTCCATGCCGAAATCTGAAAACTCAACATGCTCTTACCAATCCGCTATCTCCATCGACATGAAAATTGCCCATCACAGACATCCGATAAACTCTGCGCTGAACGCCGTCGCCTCAACAACCCGACAGAAATGGAACAGATCTCGTTTTTGTACCATATATATTCCATCGTCCGTCTCCCTTTGCTTTTACACCATAGTAAATCCCCTTCCCCTTCACCTCTACCATCTTCTTCCTCCAGGCTCATCATCCCTTCCTCGCCTAATATTACCTCCCCCAATCCCATCACGTTTCATGACGTTCGGTCTAGGACTTAAAATCACTAGCCTGCAAATTCCTCGTCATGCTCGGCAACTTGACCACCAACCCATCCAACTCCTTGGTCATGTGCACCTGGCACCCCAGCCGGCTCGTCTCGGTGAGTCCAAACGCCAGATCCAACATGTCGTTCTCGTCGTCGTCGGGCTCCGGCATCCGGTCGTACATGTCCTGGTCCTGCACAATGACGTGGCAGGTCGAGCACGCGCAGGAACCACCGCAGGCGCCTTCCATTTCGAGGTCGTGCGCTTGGGCAATGTCGAGCAGGTTGTCGCCTTCGGAGACGGCGAGACGGTGGGTTTGGTTGTCTTTGTCGATGAATGTTACGTAGAGTCTGTGTGGTGGTAGTGTGGTTAGTTGGTTATTGGGGAAGAGAGGGATCGGAGGGGTGGGTATGGGACAACGAGGGGAATGCGCTCAACTTACTCTTCGCCGGGCTTGGGAGGGTCGACGTGGCCGTGCTGGAGAGCGGAAGAGGTGGAAAGCGAACGGCGCGCAGAAGCAGAAGCAGAAAGCTGTGTCGTCGTCGACCACGCGGTAGGCAGACGCTGCGGTTGTGTTCGGAGAGGTGCGGTGGTGGTGGTGGTCTTGCTGTAGCACCGGGCATGCTGTGCGAGCCTTTGGAGGCTCTGCCTAAGAACTCGCGGGGTCGACATTGTATTGTGTGGGCGCAACACCGGATCGCAAAGGGTGCCCGAAGTGTTGTCAAAGAGAACAATGAAGTCGACAAAGTTGAGGGTGATTGGGAGTTGCCGCGAGATTATGGAGATGGGATCCCAGATCCAATGCGGCGCGCGCGTGAACGGAGTCGTTGGAAGTGGAGGAGACACTTTTTGGACCTGGACCTGTTTGGCAATCGGCACCAAGAGTCGCAAGAGATGACTGGGATGGGGATTCAAACGAATAAAAAATGGAGAATTATCAATTAAACATAAGTATACACGCCGATCGAAGCTGACATTTCGGCGTAGGTAAAAAAAAAAAAGAGTAGAGACCTTCAAAATGTTACAAACCAATGGTTGTTCATGGTTGGAATCCCTTCACTTTCCCAATGTGCTCGGCTCCGAGTATTCAGCTGCAATCCATGACAAACATCAAGCACCCTCAATGTTCGACAAAGAAACGCGATTTGCAACCCAACTTTCAAGGACTTTACAATCACAAGACGACATCAGAAAGAAGAAATGTGCTCCATCATCCATGTAAATGTTAGGTTCCTGTCTCATCACAATGCGCAAAAAAGCAAACAACATGCATCCATTGTGATCGATCAAAGATTTCTTCACGATCGAAACTTGACTCGACATGTGGTTGCTTGTAGCTCACGTCAGAATTGCACTGTCTCGGGGATTTCGGTCCAAAGTCCATCGATCTTTGTTTTCCGAGTGCAACCATTCCAATCGATGTCATTTGAAAAAGTGACCAAATTATTCCCAATTGCCAGCCGCGAGACAGCTTCTGGCAGCTCCGGCATCAGCTTCACCTGTAGCGTGTAACTCCCCCGCACCGCAGCGACCAGTAACCGGCCGATAAGAAAATTTACCCATGCACATGCCTCGCCAAGACCTCTTATCGGGCCCCACTATCATGATCATTCCATGCGCTAACAAGTGGAAGTGGAAGCGCCCGATGTTCCCTTGAAGGCGCTGAAGGCACATTGGTTGGCTGCTCTTTCAGTTGGGTCCAGTTGGCGCTCCGAGCCGTAGCGTGCTTTTGCAGGTCCATCCTTCGATCCTTCGACGCCCGAGGATCTTCGCTTCGACTGCTCGACTCCATCTCCATCTCGTCATGCGACTTTCTTTCCACACGTTTGAAATCTGTGAATAGCGGCACCATCACCACCACTTCAGATATCAATAGCCAATTGATAACAACATGGCGCACCACCACCACGCTGAAGGGGTCATCAACCCCCTCAGACCATACTACATCCCGCCCACCATTGGCGAACCCGCAGTCGAGCCCATGACGGCACCCGGTCCCCATGCCTTCGCCCAGGGAAACGCGACCGACAACTATGCCTCCAAGGCGCGAACTATCTTCTCCGACATCGACATCGACTACAAGGACTACCTCAACGACCAATCGCCCTCGGTCATGTCGACGGTCAAGGAAGTCCTCGACGAGCTGCTGTGGAAGTACATGTCCGTCTTCATGGCCCAGCCCTTTGAGGTGGCCAAGACCATCATGCAGGTCCGCGCCCAGGACGACCTGGGAGGACTGGAGGCCCTCGCGGTAGAGCAGGCGAAGCAAAAGACGGCGACGAACCAAAAGATTCGCATGTATGATGAGGTATGTCCTTCCACACAAGAGTTGAGAAGGTCACGCGAGCACGAAGAAACATGGTGTTGACTGATCCAAACTATCAGGATACCCCCTCCCCCTACGATTCCGATTCCGACCAAGATGAAATGGCCTCCTTCTTCACAGCCAAGGTCCCCCACCGACCAGCCTCGCCATCCCAGAATCGCTCAGGCAGACCGAGATCCCCGAGCCCCGGCACATCGACGACGCGCACCCCCAGCAAACAGGTCCCAGAACACCAACTCACATTGCGCACGCCCAATTCGGTGCTCGAGGTGATTGCGCAGCTATGGCAGAAAGAAGGAGCGTGGGGTGTGTGGAAGGGAACCAATGCGACTTTCATCTACTCGGTTCTGCAGTCGCTGCTAGAGAACTGGTCGCGAAGTTTGCTTAGTGCTCTCTTCAACGTCCCTGATCTGGGCGTACGAGGTGATCTAGACCGGCTAGTTGACATTGCGTCACCATACCCATGGGCGTCACTTTTCGTTGCTGGTGCTGCTGCCGCCATCACCGGCCTCATCCTCTCTCCTCTGGACTTGGTCCGGACACGGTAAGATACACTTCCCAAACCTTTCTCCCTCCAGAACAACAACAACAAACTAACAACGTATATCCAGCCTCGTCCTAACCTCCGTCTCTCGCGGCTCCCGCCGCACCCTCTCCACCCTCCGCGCCCTCCCCTCCTACCTCTGCCCCGTCACCCTCGTCATCCCCACCGTCCTGCACTCCCTCATCCACCCCGTCCTCATGCTCTCCACACCCCTCGTCCTCCGCTCGCGCTTCATGATCGACCGCGAAGTCTCCCCCGTGGCCTTTTCCATCGCCAAGTTCTGCTCCTCCACCGTCGCTTTGTTCATCAAGCTACCCCTCGAGACCGTCCTGCGCCGCGGCCAGGCGGCCGTCCTTAGCTCGCCGCAGTACGTGGCTGCGCTCGAGCCCAAGGTGCCGACTGTCACGAAGAGCAGGAGGGCGGCGGCGGCGGGCGAGAGGGGTGAGGATGGCAGCGTACCGCAGATGGAGACGATCGTCCCGCTGGGCAGGTACAATGGGTTGTTTGGCACAATGTATAGCATCGTCAATGAGGAGGGGTCGCATGCGGCGCCCATGACGGCGGCGGCCAAGAGGAAGGCGGCTGCCGCCAAGAAGAAGGGCGACGCCTCGGTGCCGCAGGTGGTTTATAGGCGGGGGCAAGGGTGTGATGGTCTATGGAGGGGATGGAAGGTTAGTTGGTGGGGGTTGGTTGGGCTGTGGACGGCGGGAGTGATTGGAGGTGGCGGTGATGCCGGGGAGTTTTAGGCCCATATATGAGGGAGATGAGATGGTCATGGGGAGTTGGGATGGTGTGTGTGGGAAAAACAAAAGAAAGAGATGGTGTTTTGCATAGCCGGATAAGTTGAAAAAGGAGGTTTGTTGCTATTATCACAGAACGGGAGACAAGGAGGCTGGTTTCATTTGTACTTCTGGCGTTCAAAGGAGCTTAGACTGAGTGGCTTGTCGTTGGCAGGCAGGCAGGCAGGCAAGGTATACGGGTGCAAGATCCCCTCTCAACATTTGTTTTCTTTTTCACGAAATGACGGATGTATGGAGGGTTGAATGGGTGGGAGGCGGCGGTGATAATTTTTTGCACTATATATGTATGTGATATCCCTAACATTTTTTCTTTTCGACGTTCCTTATCCCTTCACCATCTTGAAGTTGAAAAATGCATTGGACGCCCACTAGGTTTTTTTTTTCTTTTCTTTTTTTCTTCGTTTTTTTTTTCATGATCATTGTTCTCTTCCTTCGTCTTTGGCAGACAAGAAGGCTCGGACTGTCGCACGACGAAAGCCGCAGTAGTGAGTGTTGACCGAAGAGAAAAGGACCGCACAGCCGTCCCGTCGGTTATCACCACAAGGGCCACCACGCGGCAACTGGTGACAAACACCTACGAGCTGACAACGTAGGCATCAAGGCGACCAACGGGATTGATGTCATCAGCCTCCCTCCCTCCCTTTCGTCCCTCCCGTCCCGGTTATTAAGTGAAGCGGTACCTGCCACTCTCGCATCGATACCTACCTCAAGAGGTACCAATCAACATTTCCGCCATTCAGCTTGATCGGTGATTTTCCGCATTGGACTTCCACTTGATGGCTTGATACAGATACGACTGACTACCTCTAGTCGGTACGGCAGACCACCTTACTCAAACCACCACCACGGCCGACATGCCGGAATTTCATGGAATATTTTTCCTTTCTCTGCGAATCTACGAACCACAAACCCTAATTGTTTGGTAAATCATAGGATGGACAATCCGTTAAAACAAAAGCGGGGCAGACATCCTTTATCCTTCATCCTTCATTCATTCCCGTCAGGTCCGGGCCGTCGGCTTCAGTTGTTCTGTTTATCAAACGTCGATGGGTGGGTGGGACCCACCCGTCATCGTCAGCGGAGGATCGGCCGAACCGTTAACGATGGATCGGTCGGAACTTTTTACATGCAGGGGTCTGTTTGGTGTGATTGATCTACACTACGTGATGGTAGCCGACAACGGAAGGGGGTCGTGGATGAATGGCTCCCGTTCACTTCCATCACTTTCATCTCCTTCTTCTCTTTACATTCACTGTCACCTCATGCTTTCTCTACCTACGACCAATGATAATAATTTGGAATTTTACATCCTTTCTTGAAACACTGAGTTTTTTTTTTTTTTTTTTTTTTTTTTTTTTTTTTTGTCTCTCTGAATTCCTACTAGCGTTCCAGCCACGCCAGCTTTTGTTGTAATTCGGACCTGACCCCAAACTTTCATCACCAACTGCAGTGGACTGTCTAGACCAAAAAGATCGTTTCACCTTCGTCCGGTCTGCTTCCGGCTATCTTCCTGACTCTAGCAGTTTGTTTCTGGTTATTAGCAGCCCAGGCAGCAGCAGATTTCACATCATTCAAGGGGGCGGGACCAGATAACAAAAGGAGACACTGTCATCAAACAAACAACCACCTTGAAGCTGAGTGCCGCTTTACGCATTCACCAACCGGTATGCCTCTTCACCTTACAACCAGTTGACTCACGCGCAAACAGTCACGTATGACGGAAGTAGTCAGTCACCATCTTGCAAGTCACCCACTGACGAATTATCCAGCTGTTTCGGTGAAGAGTAGAATCGCAGAATCCAACCTGTCAAGCCAAGGTCCAAGAAAAAAAAATCAGACTGGATCGTAAACTGGAAGCATTAAATTCTCACCGACTAGATCGTCCGTCCTCTCCCTCCTTGCAGCATCAACGAAACAACACCAAAGCAATCATCGATCAACAGCCAACAAATCCATCAAAGCAACCAACAAACTACCTACCTACCTAATCCAGACCCCTCATTATCACATAATCCACCAAAGAAGTCGGTACCAACCATGTTCCGCCAAAACCCAAACCTAATCCAACCCCCCCTCACCCCGCTCTCAACCTCCCGCCCTCCTCTCTTCCTCATCCACGACGGCGGCGGCACCATCTTCTCCTACTACTGCCTCTCCGACCTGCACCGCCCCGTCTACGGCATCTTCAACCCATGCTACTCTACCAAATCCACATTCGAGGGCGGCATCCCCGAGATGGCCAAGACTTATCTCAATTTTATCATCGAGACTTTATTTGGAGACGATCAATGTGACGGAAAAGTCAGTTCTCCTCCAAAAAGGGATGCAGGAAAAGAGCTTAGTAGAGAGCGGGACTTGATTCTAGGCGGGTGGTCACTTGGCGGCATGGTCTCCTTGGAAGTATCCAGGCAGGTTTTGGATTTCAACGCTGCAGAGGTTGCTGCTGCTGCCAAAAATACAGGAAAGCAGAAACAAGCAAGGAAACTTAATGTCCTGGGAATCGTCATGATCGACAGCATGAACCCCGACCAGGCCTCCTTCCCGCACAACGTCAAGATTGCCAACCCGAATGCTACCAAGATGCAGTGGGGCCCGCATACCAAGCCGGAAACCAAGGAGGCGGTGCTCAGGTGCTTCCATGAGGCGAGACGCATGTTGGCCTTCTGGGAACTGCCGACTTGGCCACCAGTCGCAGATGCTGATGGGGATGGTACTATCAGGACTAGTCCAATGGGACCGCCGCCTGTGGTGCTGTTGAAGGCCAAGGAAAATGTCCCGCTGCAAGAGCCGCAGGAGGATGAAGAAGAGGTGTCGAGGACGGATGTGCACAGGGGTGATGGACAGTTGGGGTGGGGGAGGTATCATGAGGGAATGGTGAGGAAGGTCATTAAAGTGGAAGGACATCATTTCAATTTGTTTACGGAGGAGAGGAGAGCGGAGCAGGTGACGAGGGGGGTGAGGGAGGGGTGTGAGATTTTGGAGAGGTTGTGGAGGCAAGGAAAGGCGTGAGGGACAGGATGATGATTACAAGCGTCAGTTGATGCTGGTACGAGGGACAGGATTTTGGGGGATCATGGAGTGCGGACAACGGCCATGAGAACGAGAGCAGCCTTGAGGTGAAAGGAGGAGAGCGTGAGAGGAAGCGGACATGGAGAGACCATGAGGGCACGAGGAAATGGCGCAAGGAGGGGGATTTGAGAGGTTCCAGAGAGAAGACGTGAGACTGTTCAAAGGGCTGATCTGAATGGAGCACAACGCGAAGGTTACCGCGAGGCAAAGACGATCAGTCGACTTGATGGAAAAATAAGGGGCGAACTGAGGAAACCTCAAGGCCCGTAACGTAATCACGGAAGATGACACGTCATTCAGGAGAATTTAATCCGTCGGATCTCTAGACGTACCTACCTAGATGTACTGGTACGTACATGGCAACTGCGAGGTCGAGCTGAAGGCGGCTAGAGGTACCTACCGTACAAACTCGGGAAATTGGCAATCGTCAATCTCCTCTTTGAGCGCCGGTGCAGGACATATAGGTACTTATTCAGGACAAACCCGGTTCTGTACATGAAAACGCACGCAAGTTACCGTGGTGGGCAATGTCCTCGCCTGCCTGGCTCTGAAAGAGGAGATTGACGGTTGCCAATTTCCCGAGTAGTTTCTACGGTAGGTATAACACTGCACCAAAGAAAAATCGGAAAGAACGGGAAAGATGTCTGAATGCTGAGACGAGGTGGTGCAGCCCGCGGCGCAATGTTCGAGAGAAAGAAAGACCTTGGAGGACATCCGATGCCTGGCTGCAGTGATTTTCGACGCTGAATTTTCCATTCCCTGACCCAAGTTAACAGCTCGCTAATCCTTTGTTAGTCAGTACCATATGTTACGAAGCGGAACCCCTATCTCCTGGCAAGCATGTACAAATACCTGCGGTGTGAGCATCTGCACGAAGTAATCCATCGTAACTGCCTGCCTACCTCTACCTCTGCATCCACCTGACCTCCAGTTGGGTGCAGTCAATCCTTCCTTCCGCTCTTACACAGCACGACATGCCCGGGCACAGGGGTCCCGACTCTGACTGGGCCACGAGAGGGTTGACTGGAATTTACCGCATCATGTGCTGTTCTCTCCATTTTCCTCTTTTGCGTTCAATCATCTTTTTCCGCACGAATATGTATCTCTAGAGACACTTGATCACCTCGCGCCAAACACCTCAACCACAACCGACACACTCTTGCTCCTTGTATCGCTATGGCCTCGGGATCTTGAAGGAATCCGACTCCTGCATTGCAGATGTGCCTCAAACGACAAGAGTCCGGCCATGCGCGCCCTTCCATATCGACAAGTCTGGGTGTTGCATGGCGGCGCCAGCGAACATTATTACAAACAGTCCTACCAGACATTGGCTACATCATCGATACAACACAACCAAGTTCACAATGATATGGCGTCATTGGGAGCCCATTGAGGGCAGTCACTCCATTGTGCGCTTCCAATACCCATGATTTCGAATGCAGAACAACGTTCTGCTGTCGCAGAAAGGGCGGGTATGCTTGCTGAATGAAGCAGCTCCCGTGGTCCCGATACATCAGGTTATCGTATGTGCTGAAGGGTCAACAGCAACGTTGACGATCCCGGGATGTTCCCGGAACGATGCACTTTGCCCATGTGCTCCATATAGGTACGCTACATTTCCGCCCAGTTCCGTCCTATCGTCCGGATAGCTCCTGTGGCATGCTAACTTCCAAGCAGACTGGAAGTCATGTTCGCTAGACCAAGTCAAAAGGCATTGTGACTGGCGTGCGGTCCAGCGCTGCATGAGGGCTCTTGACAACTGTCAGACGCAGATGGCAACAGCCTCGACCCTGTATACCTAGGTATCTGGAATTCTGTATTTGCGACAAACACTGATAAAACTCGGGCAGTCTTGTACAGAAAATCAAACCACGCCATGCCAACTGAGGGAGCTCAGCTTTGGAGTGACTGAATCACCTCTCTGCCCGCTGGGTCGCCCTGCCTTTTTACCTTTATATGACCTGGGTCGTGAGCACCATCAACCAGCCAAAGGACCTCGACCTTCCCTTCTGCTCGAGTCTTCCTTCAGTGAGTGCGCTCTACCTCTCCTAGCACGGACGGTATCACATCGTACCTCCTTGCCGTTGGTGTGGTCATATTGCGCCGGCTCAAGGCGGCAGCGATCCCACTATTATAGAGGTAACTTACCTCCTTCAAGTTCAACCGGAGGATTCTGTCTCTTAGGACTTACTACAAGACACTCACATTACCGGCAAGTTTGGTCGCGCTACCTAAGGCTGTGGTTCACTTATGCTAATTGTGTCTCTAGAGCCTACCGCACCGGGCTTCTCACTCAGGGAGGGTGCCTATACCTGTGGTATGGCTACATCCCGCTCAAGTGGTTCCGTAAATCCTTGTGGTCTAAGATAACATGGACGAAGCAAATTTCCGAGCACCAGCCAAGGGTGCTGGCAAGCCTGGCAATGTCCCAGGCGTCGTGGGGTTTCTGAAATCCCAAACTATGAACGGGCCGGGACTCCATAGCTCTGAAACTGAGCTGCGAACCCCCCGTCTGGGAAGCAGCATTAACACAGTACCCCCTCAAGCACCAATCGAGATCGCGCCAATGGATCACAACTGGGACAAGGCTGGCGACGTTAGAGGCGTCATTATGTACTTGCCACCAAAATATGGAATTGAACGCAATCTGCATGACCAGATTAAGGATATAGGCGATAAAGTGTTCGGTCATCCGGTTGTTATTCAATCCATGGGCACGGAAAGCGTCTGTATATTTCCGGTTAGTCTCTTCCGTTTCTTCTTGGTCCCAAGTCACTGGTACTCCCGTGTGATATAGTCCTTGGAACATGGGACTCCAGTTGGGCAGCCCATGCTGACAGTATGCTGTCGCTCAGATCACCAGTCACGGCAAAAAGGGCCCTTATAGACCGGGAAGACCCGGCGTGCCCAAGCACAAGGATTGCTTGCCCATCCCGCTTGATCCAGAGCTTCGCCGTCAGGATACAGATCTCTCTCTGGATCTAGCAGGTGGCAGGGAGACACTTCGAACACCATCAGGTGTGCGAATTGAGAAAATGTATACTGTCCCTTACCAGTCGCTGAGGTACTGGCATGACGCGAAAAGCATTTCGACGAGCCCTAGGCTCACAAGACAATCATATGGCAAGATGGTGAGGGTTGCTGATGAGCTTGCCAGGAAATTGAAGGTGATGAGAAGCCCCAATTGGCGAGCTAATCCAACTGCATCGCCACCTGAGATGGATTCCACTTCGGACTTCATCGAGAATCAAGTCATGTCTGAGCCGGCTGAGAGGAACAAAATGTCGGGCAATTGGTGGGAAAGAGGCTCGTCTGCGTTGCGCCCCCGGATGGACTCCGATGTGGAAACCAACGGCTCGAGTCCTCTCACTACCGCGAGCACTCCTACCACGTTGAGCACTCCGACCACTCCGGATACTCTCACTACCGCGAGCACTCCTACCACGTTGAGCACTCCGACCACCCCGGATACTCTCACCACCGCAAGCACTGCTGACACGCCGATAACTCCTTTGAGCTTGCCTGACTCTTGTACGGCAACACCTACAATCCCTTCTTCTCCATTGCCTTCACTAGGTAGACATGGACGTACTTCCAATGTTGCTAGATCATCCAAGCGCCTAGTATATACAAGAGCGGCGCTTTTACGATGTCGCGGGGAAGCCATACCTGATACTTCAAGTAAACGGTGACCGAGGAAGAGTTGGGTCAAAAACGATATTGAGGCATGTCAGGAGGAGGACGCGGCATCAAAGACAGCTTTAATGCCCTTGTGGAACATATTTCAGGCGTAGAGGAAGGTTCAAATACGATTTTATTGCTATCGGCTTGTGTTTGGACAATTGACGACAACGCAACAAGTCCTCATTCACTTTGATACTGACTGCCTCATAGATCACGAAGCGCTATACCCCCCAGCCCATCATCAAAAACCACAATATGCGCCTGTCTCTGCCTCGGCATCGCAACTACCTCTCTATTCACCATTCCATTCTCATCGAAAGTTGTGAAATCAACGCAGGGGACATAGAAATGAGCGATTGATCCGAACCCATGGACCATGAGCGTTTCAAACCATCCTTCACATTTGCCACCTTTTCCTTTGACACCCTTCTTTTTCCCATCGGCATCATCATCTTCATGTTCCTCTTCCTCCTCTGGAATGCCACTGGCGAACATGACAACCTTCTTTCCTTTCTTTTTCTTGCCTCTGAATCGCATTCCTTGGAGCAGCCCAACGGTTTTGTCTTGGTTTGCATGGGGGCGCTGATTGTTGTCGTCGTCAGAGAGGCTGATGTATCGCCAGCCAGTGGAGCCGGCGAAGGCAAAAGAGGTGGAAGTGCCCGTAGCGATGGCGGTGCCGAGGAAGTCATCGTTTGTTACTTGGGGGATCTCCGAGCTGTCGTCGTCGTCCGGTAGTCCAATGCCACTGTCGGCAGAGCGGTCCCTCTGCCAGAACCTCTTCCCATTTCTGTTTCCCTTTCCTCCTCCTCCCTTTGTATCCCTTCCGATATCATTCCCTGCGGCAGAATCACCGTCCCCAAACCGTCCACCGATACCACCACGACCCTCCCCCTCCTCCTGGTCCTCCGCGGCGCATCCATCCACGCCATCGCCGGCCCCCGCCCCAAAGAAACCCCTAAGTCCTCGCCCCAGCAAGCCTCTTCCGATAAACTTTAGCAATGGTCTCCGGATTCGGCCCCGTAAACGCCCCAGCCGCAATGACATCTCGCTTTCCGATCCGGATGAACTGCACCGGTGTGCCGCTTCCTTCGGCTCCAGGGATCGCTTCCCGTACGGCTGAGACAATGTTCTCGTATTCTTCGTCGGACAAGCTGCTGCCGCCGACGAGCAAAGCGGTGGGAATGTGTCGCTCCGAGGGCGAGCGGTTGGTGTTGGAACCTAGACCGGAGGAGGGCACGATGGAGGTGTCGCCTGAGAAGAGAGCGGGAAGCTCGTGGAGGGCAGTGGAGAGGGAGAGAGACGTGTGGACTACTTGGGGGGTGTTAGAGTCTGTTGTTGGCGGAGGGAAGGATGAGAAGCTGAAGAAGAAAATAAAAGATATGGGAATGACCAGTGACTAGGTGGGGAGAGAAGAGAAGAGTGAAAAGCGGGGAAAGATGAACTCGGGTTGGGAGATCGGGAAGGGGGGGTATGATGTCAAAAGAGAAAAATTGGCGGACATCAACACCAACGCCAGCTTGAGTCGGTGAATCCCTCAATCGGCGATCAGATATGAGACGGGACTACAAACCTTCAACATCAGGTAACAATTTCTCACTGACAGCCTCAGCCATCTTGGGATCGCGGCCATAGGTGGCGACATAAATCGGCTTCTGCTGCTGGTTGTCGGTCATGGTGGGCAAGATATATACCTCTCGAGGTACCTTTTCCTTCCTGGTATACGGTACTATCGCTGCTACTGGGATGTGTGGTGTCACAACAGGACGCCAAAACTATACCCTGCCTGCCGTGGGCTTGGAACGAACTGGGATTTCGACGGGAGTGGGAGAACTAAACTTGGTTCCCGTCAGTATGGGGTCGATTTTACGGCTCTCTCCGTTAGGATCGTGGATGACGACTGGATGACTGGCAATGGAGATGGATTGTGTATGGCGAAGGATTGAAGAGTATGGTATGAGTGGACTGTGTGAATGGGCAACTTTGGTGAAACACGAACATGGACCAAAGGCAGTGGTGTTGGGAAAGTGTTATGTGTGTAAGACGGAAAACGACATGGAAGGACAAAGGGCACAAGAGGACAAGGGGACGCGTGAGAGTGTAAGACACACATACATGGGGTTGGGTTGTTTTCGGAACAAGAAGAATATGCTGTGTGATGTTCTCGGAATCTGTTGTGTATCCTTTTGCGACGGGTTGGCGACGGTGTTTGCGACAGAAGGAATTTCGATGAGACCGACTGACAAGCTTACAAAAAGACTGGTTGAACCAGGATAAAGGCGGAAGACGGACCAGGGTAATAGTGAAGTAGGATCACGGCACAGCAAGGTTTTGAGTCTGTTTGAGAACGACGAGGGAATGGGTTTATTTATGCCGTGATGGCTTCAATCCTTTGTTTTCTTTGCTTTCTACAGAAAATTGCTAACTTGAAATTTTCACGTCTGTCCCCTGCAGCATACAGGTTATCTGTGCTTAATTGAGAGCATGATAGGTGTTCAAGCGGACGCAACTTCGTTTGACTCTTCGCCACAAAAGCATATGATAGCGCCGGACTTGCCAGGCACGGTACCTTGTGGCATGACACGACTGCGGCAGATGTGGACAAACTGTTTGGCCAAGCCTCGATCACCTCAGTTGCCCAGGTGAAACTTGGAGCCAGGCGAAGGAAAAGCAGATATGTGACGAGGGATAGCATGATGTTTCCAGCATCTCGGAAATTCCACGCCAATTTCTAGGTACAAACCAAGGGTATTCGTAGGTGGTCAGGTTCTCTGGAGATCCGGCATGATGTGTACGCTGGGTAAGGTAAGCATGTTTCCCAATTCATGACCGCCAGATAGGTATTTTGGAGATATGCAAACTAGTGATTTCGGAAGTCTTCTCCCTCCTTCTCCGTCAAAAAGACAGGTGACAGAGGGAGAAGCATCATAGAAATCGTTTTCACAGCACTTCGAGTTCGGGTAGGTTAGCAACACGTTTCCATCCTTCACCGTTTGGTTCTGCGGGCATGAACTGCACAAAGTCGGGCAGTATGCCCGCACTCAGATGGACGTCGGGCCCGGCCCAGGTGATATGACTCTAGTAGGTAACCTCGCAGGAAAGAACACCTGGACATCATCAGTTAACCGGCCAGCTGATGGCCCTCCTCAATGTCAACACTTGATGAGCTTTTGCTAAGGTAGGTAATTGAACCTCATAAAACAAAAACCTACCTAAGCTAACAGTGACAATAACATAGGTGCCTCTATGCAAAAAAAGAAAAAAAAGAAAGAAAAAAAAAACCGAAAGCGGATACATCCAGGTAACCCGTATGCCATCCGTTTCTAGGTAGATAAAGAAACATTGCGTGTCGGGTAGGGGTACATACCATTTGAGCGCCGGCATCCAGTCGGTCTCGGAATTGATGTCAAGCTGTACGAACTCCGGCGGGTGGCAGTTCAGATTGCGGCTCAGTTGAAGTTTGTGCAGGGTGGTGGTGGCAATGACACTTGACTGGTGCAGGTGTGGCTAGCGAGTTGCTGGACAGACAGAAACATCAAGCCCTCCTTCCTTCCTTCCTTCCTTCCTGCCGTACTGGAACACTTTATCACTGTGGAAATCTGAACATTGGGATCTTTGAAACATTGATATATTGGATAGTGTACTAGGTAGGTAGGTAGTGTCTCGGGCGAGTCCGCGCCATGTCTTTGCTTTCTATTTGATGGGTTCAGCCCAGATCAGAATCAGATATAAGACGTTGTCGCGGGATCTACAGCTGATTGTAAGCTGAACCGCCAACTACTTCTAATAAAAGAACTGGGCAACGAATTCTGACCCGGTGGTAGGTGATGTTCACAACTGATGCGTGTGTATACATGGAAGTCGGCATCAGTGGAGTGAAGGGGAAGTTGTGGACCAGCAATTGGGGAAGCTCCGGCCGACTGTCCGAAATTCCGAAAAGCTGTCCGAATAAGGCACTGCCCAGCGGTGCGTGCGTAACCGGAAGCCAAACGGCAGTGTATCTGGACTTGAAGATAACGAAAGTATCTTTTGCAAGGTTTCACTTCTCGTCTGCTTTTTGTCTGTTCCTCGTCTGCTTTGTACTGCTTACTGCCAGAACGGTGTCATGTAGATTAGATGTACCTACCAGAACTGATGTTACACATTGGCATACAACAAAGTGCGCCGCAAGTACCAACCCTCTTTCCTCAGGTGTTGATCCAATACCAGGCGGTGCAGTGCGGCGCAAGCAGGTTCGTCAGGGTAAGATTGATGGACAGATGAGCTCTTCAGATCTGGCATGTTCCAGCCCCATCTCCATTCACACTCTCGCTCCTTCCAAGTCGGAACCTTGATTATCCACCTGCTGTTGCTTCCGTCAAGCACGAACGCACCTGCAATCGCCAGTCAGCTGCGCTTTTCATATGGAATGGAAGTTGGAAGCACGTGGGTGAGAAGGTCAGGTTCCCTGCACTATCCTTTTTCTCGGCTGCAAATCTCGAGCCCCTCAAGATGCATTCCAGTATCGAATTCACGCACTCAGACAGACTGGACTGCAACAGTGGGCTGATGTCCCTTGACGCTCAAGGTTGGTAACTTGTTTCAACGAAAACGAAAACGAAACCAATTCTTCTGCTTGTTTGGCACCGTGAGCGTCTGGTTCTGCGATCATGCAATGCGGTATCCATTTAGCTGGTACTTACCTTACCTTACCTAAAGGTAGCCTCTGCATGGTACAGGAGGCCTGGAAGCTGAGAAGCGGGGAAAATAGAGATCGGAAGCTAGCTCAGGCATGTAGGAGATAACATGAAGTTGAAACATCAGATGACACAGACCATGGTAGGTAGATGCTCAACGGCGTCGTCAGGGCCAGGATAAAGACTCGACACTCGACACTCAACCTCTCGGGTTCTTCCATCCGCTCTCTCGTCACAATCTCTTTCCTCACTTTCCATTCATCGATCTCACTTCGTCATATATCCTTACCAGGTAACGTCGCTCAAGGGGTCAGGAGTGGAAAGTTGGACCATTCGGGTTCTCTAAACACCCACCTTGTGCTAGGTCCCTTTGCAGCACAAGCTTGGATGAGTGGGTGGTAATTTCCAACGTCTGAGGTAAATAAGCTCAAAATCTCTTGTCCTTTCATTTCCCATGCTCATTGCTCGTTACTCGTTACTCATTGCTCGTTGCTCGAAAGCTAACGTCTTCTTCGCCTCTCAGATAAACCTCTTAGGTAGAGGTACCTACCTTACCTCCCAGACAGACGGATCTCACCGAGATATTGTGTAAGACAGACAAACGTATCCAGATCGACCATTTGTCTGTCCTTAGAGGTGGTAGCTCCCAAATTACATACCTCTTGGTACCTACCTTACTCGCTGGTAGGAAGGAAGGAAGGAAGGGGGGTCGTCAGCAAAGCAAGCCACTTGGGAATATTCAGCCAATCTTCGACATAAGCTACATGTAAGTTGCTCATCCCCCTTTTCCCTCTGAGGTGCAATCCTGTTCCATCCATCTACTTCCCAGTCAACCGCCTAGCCGTTCTCGAAGGAATTCATCTAAACCACCTCAGAAAACGCGGGAGACATATATCAATCCTGTTATAGCGAGCATTTGCTATCAACCATACATCCATCCATTCATCCATCAATTCATCCATATGTCACTCGCGCCTCCCAATCTCTCCATAGAGTACCTACCTCTATCTCTAGAGGTAGGTACCGCTAGGTACCTCACTGCCATCATGTAAATGAATGCAGGTACTGATATGAACACAACAAGGTACCTCTACCTAGGTACCTATCCAAGAGTACAATAAGAACAGCAGCAGTAACGTAACTGCGTAAGGCTGTGTACCTATCTAGTATCACGAGGTGGCGTGTACCTTTACTCGGCGTCCAGTCTGTGTGCATTGTAGTTTCTGAGCGTGTGTCCTTCGGTGTTGTGTTTCTGAAAGTAGGTAGTTACGATTAGAGTGCCTACCTAGGTAGTGTAAACATTAACATAACCGGAGAGACTAAGGTAGGTAGGGAGGGTTCACGAGAACTGTTTGTTGCCTAACTACCTTAAGAAACGCAGTCAAGGTTACTATATCGTCTAACGGCTAGTAAGGCAGTTTGGTTACGGCTGCTCATCTACCGACTTGCTTTTCTTTGATCGGGAGGTAGGTATCAATTGCAAGACATAGAGAGGTGATCAAATTTTATCCAACCCATTCCTACAGAACAGTGTAAAATCCAAATGTAAACGAACAGATACACCAAGTAAGCCAAAAAAAATTTCTTTCCGTTTTCCAGCTATCAAATACTTCATACATCCATCCAGATACCCGTACAACCATTCAAAAAATCCATAAATCCAATGTCTACACGTATTTGGGCTTTTGTTCGCTTCCCACTTGCTTCGCCTTTTTACACCTCGGAAAGCCAAATGTTGAAAAAAAATGTCAGAAAGCCCCCCTCCCCCACACCATTACCACCAGTCTCAACATACAATCCACCGTTGCTTAGAAGCAATGCCTTGTGCAAGAAGCCAAATGATCCAAACACCCTTTTTGAACGCCTTGAGTAGTCAATGACATAGAAAACAAGCAGCCCTAGGCTTGAATGACTAGCAATGTGTAGGCATGTACCTGAGCGCCGTGCGTGCGTGTATGTGTGTAGTCAAGTAGAAACAACAATAACAACAAAGGAGAGAA